TCAAAAAAATCACCAGAGGGCAGTGTAACGTTGGTCCTAATTGACCGTCTATAAAACTATATTCTACTAATTTTTAAAATGTTGAATGAAGTCATTTCATATAGGTAAGTAACGAAATATAGTGATGTCGAGTTACAAATTATAATAAAATAAAGCGATATACTAAAAGTATAAGCAGTAAGAAAAGAACAAACAGCTTGATAAGAGCTCACCTGGCAGTCTTCTTATTGAGCAAATGTCGTATAACTCTCCGTGGCTTCACACCATTACGAATCACGGTAATAATTCGTGGAAATACAAAGTGAGTAGGTTCGACCTAAACCAGTCAAAAACTAGAAGAATAAAGACAATCAAGACAAATGTATCAACATAAGTAATAAAGAAAGTTATAGAAATGCAAGCTTACAGTAACGTGCTCTGTCCCCCACAAACCCAGCATTGCTGCCTCATTTGGTCGATTTGTCCGAGAAAGGGCAAAACACCAGTATGGTTCGCGAGCATTAGCATAGTCAACAGATTTGAATGTCTCTGTGCTAAATACAGATCGACTTTGGATGTTCAGTCAGTCATTTGTAATATAGCGGAAATTTATAAAAGTTGACGTTGCACCCACCTCGAACAAACGTATGACTCGCCATCCTCAAATTGGTCTATGTCCGTTATTCGCGTTTGTCCATCTATGCTGAATATATGCCGAATACCGAGTGGAAGCGCCGTTGAGTCTCCCATCGTCTTCGCAAGGTCCTCCATCAGAGGTTTCATGCTTCGAACACGATCGCTTCGTAAAGCGTACCATAATCCCTGAACAGAATTCTTCGGAAACCTACAAATGTTGTTTCAACAACACAATTATGAGTAGATTTAGGAAAAAGAGCAACAATTCTATTAGAAGTTCTATTAGAAGGTCTGCAGGCGTTTATTAAATATACCTAAGAAAGAGGTTTGGACTCCGACCGGGTGAAAAATTCAGGGTTTTCAAATTAAAAGATCAAAACCACTAATTTCTAAGAAACTACATGATCTGTGTTCCAAACTTGAGTCAGTGTTTTTCTGACCTAGAACCAATATAAAAATCACAAATTTTCTGTTGTTCAAAACATCTTCAGAAAATGCCCCAAATAGTCTACACTTTATTATGAAAAGCGCTACGAGCGTGTTTCTTTTCTTATCTGGTGGTAACCGCTGGAGAGAGAACAGAAAAAAAAGAGAGGAAAAGAGAAAAGATAAGCGAAGAGAATTCTGAGAGAACAAAATTGAAAGAGCACTCATTTTCCCTTCATTGATTTTCCTATTATCCTATGCAACACACTGCGCAGTATAAGAATATACAAACAGATAGTAGCCTTCATATACAATATGATTTCACTGAAAAGCAAAGTTTTCCAAAGGTTTGAGCGTGGATTGCGGTGATGAGAGTTATAGGGAGTTTTTGCCTGTATATATCCAGTTCAAATACGATGAGACATTCGTACGTAATGTGGTTTTGTAAAATGATTACATGTGATTATAAGTATTTCTAATGTGCAGAACATAATATCAAGTATAAAAATTGGGGCAAAGAATTTGCAGTTGTTAGAAGGCATAAGATGTGGTTAGATTCTTTTGAGGAGTGTTCATTCAAAACGGAGTAAAAGCTTGAAGTTGTAAACCATAAGCAGTCGAAGAAAAGTGGGTGCTAAGCAAAAACAGTGTTTGCCTACCCAAATATTAGAAAAATTAAAAGTAATAGCAAAAAATTCCAAATTTCGTAAAAACATCACACTAAATATACGAAACAGCTCAAGATGTTATTTCCAATTAACTTACCTCTTTAGTATTGAGCAATTATACAACTTTGAAAAAAAAATCTTTTGTTCGTAGGCATGCAAGAAAGCAAGGTTAAACGGAAAGCCATATAAAGAACTTATGCAGCAACAAAAATAATCCTCAATCTTCTCAAAAATGCAAAAATTTCAAATAGTGCGTACTTTTTTGAATCAAGAAAAAAGGTGCTAGCATTTGTGCGCCTTTACCCAATAGAATTTCGCTAGATGAACTCC